ATTTCCTAAACCACTGCAGTTAACCACAGTTGAGTGAGGCCGAGGTCTGGAGCCTGGAACTTCATTCAAGTCTCTGAGTTAGGCAGCAGAAACCCAAGCATTGGGTCCCTTTCCCACCTTCCCAGGTATATTTCCAAGGAGCTGGATAGTTAGTGGAGCAGCTGGGTCTTAAACCAGAACAGCAGTATGGGATGCTGGCACCACAGGCAGTGACTTGACTCACTACACCACAATATTAACTCCCTCCTCTTTCTGCTGGCTGCATTGTGAGTTACACAGTTGCATTTTTGGCCTGTTTTTAGGATGGTGGTGCTTAACTGATATATTTATATAAACTGAACTTATAAGACTACATTGTATTATAAATGTATTTTATGTCTAAAGCTAACCATAAGTATTTTTCCAACTTAATACATTCGTTTTAGTTTTATACAGCCAAAATTCAGAAGAAACATTGTAAATGTACCTATACATCTTTCTCTTTCTACTCCTCCCTCCCTCTTACTCCTTCAGCAGTTAGAAAATGTTCCTAATAGCTGAGCTGAGTGATGAATAGGCATGTGGGGGTTCTTTTTGCTATTTTCTCACTGGGGTGGATACTGGAAAATATCAATAATAAAAACTGTATAAGAATGTATCCTTCAGACCCGGGCAGGGTGGCCTAATTGCTAAAGTCCTCACCTTGCACCCGCTGGGATCCCATATGAGTTCCAGTTCTAATCCCGGCAGCCCTGCTTCCCTTCCAGCTCCCTGCCTGTGGCCTGGGAAAGCAGTCATGGACGGCCCGAAGCCTTGGGACCCTGCACCCGCATGGGAGACCCAGAAGAGACTCCTACCTCCTGGCTCCAAATCAGCGCAGCTCTGGCCCTTTCGGTTTCTTGGTGAATCATCACTTGGAAGATCTTCCTCTCTGTCTCTCCTCCTCTCTATATTTCTGACTTTCCAATAAAAATAAGTCTTTAAAAAAAAGTATCCTTACCTGGTGCTACTGCTAGCAGTCTCTCCTCCAACTCCTTTTATTTTACAATGCAGACATTTCCCTGCGGGGTTAAAGTAACTTGCTAAACATGAGTCATCTTGTTCCCTTCCTCCAACTAAACTTTGCTACTACCTCTTCTTTCTAAGACATGGCAAAACACCCAAAGGGTGGAATGGGGTGTGGGACAGACTGGACTACCGCTACACATACTGGCGAACCAGGGTATGGGGCAGGCCTGGTGGGGGTTATCATGGGTCGCTCCAACTAAGCTGCAGCTCTCACTGGTTTATGCGAGGGCCGAGTATGTGCTGAGCAGAACCAGGCTGGACTGCAACACCCATTGGTTCCAGTGGAAGTCGGGTCTGAAAACAGAACCCATCCAGCAATTGCAACCACCAGCTGATCGGGGCAATGGACTGTGCCGGGCCCTGTACTTGCTAGCACATACAAGAATCTGGTTTGAGAACACCTCAGACAAAGTTTCTTTGGAGATCTCCCCAATCGAAATGCCGGACTCAGAACCCAAACCAAGAAAAGAGAGAAGACAGAACAGGTCAACCAACCATCTCAGCTATATGTTGGCAGCAAAATACGGGGCAAACACTCTATGATGGATTAGGTCAATCAGTGGATTCTTCAAAGACCTCATAGTGCTTGGAGTGGCAAGATTGGCAGCGATTCATAACTGGTGAACTATCAAAACCACTTGAGCAAGAACCTCAGAGCATACCCTACATCCGGGACCTGGGGAGGGTGGGAAATTGGGTGGTCCTTCTCCCTTAACACCCCCCTTTAAACATGAAGGAAACAATATGGGAAAGATAAGTCTTACCCATGTTCCTGTAGCCCTTGAACCTTTTTACCCTAATTAACTATGTAACGATTGTCAAAATACAATAAGAAAAAATTAAAGAGAAAAAAAAAAGACATGGCAAAACACCCGAAGGCAGGAAGAGTTGAAAAGGGTTACTAGAACTGAACCAAACAAAGTGGGGCTGGCAGATTCCAAGTGCCTGGTACGGATTCCTGCCAACTTAGACCAAACCATACATAAGATATGGTAGGTCAGGGCATGCTAGGAACCATTAAGAGCCAGCTCTTCAATGAAAGAAAACCCTGTTGTACAGCTGTTCTCTGGTGTGCAGCTTTCTACCATGACTGATTTTAGACTGCTAACGGCTGTCATTGAACATAGAGTTGAAAAGAGATGGGCAGTAACACATCACGTTATACCATTTCTACCACTCAGCTACCCAGATGGAACTAACCATGAGAGCATGGACAGGGCACTACCTCCCACCTCTTAAAAGAGGCCAACAATTAGGGAGAGGCCCCTCTCTGATCGAGGGACCACATCTGGAGATTCTGCTCGCGCTGTGGTGCAGCGCGTTAAGCTGCTGTTTACATTGTTGACATCCCATATTAGAGAACTGGTTCTAATCCCAGCTTTTCCATTTATAATCCAGCTCCCTGCTAATGCTCCTGAGAAAGCAATGGAAGACAGCCTAAAGCATTTAGGTCATTGCCACCTACATGGGAGACCCAAATAGAATACTCCAAGCTTCTGTCTTCAACCTGGCCCTGCCTCCACCACTGTGGCCATGAGAGGAATGAACCAGTGGATAGAAGATCTCTCTGTTTTTCCCTCTCTGTCACTCTGCCTTCCAAATAAATGAAAATAAATTAATTAAAGATCTAAAAAAGAAAGAAAAAGGCTCTGAGCCTTTGCCTAGACCCCTCTGATCAGCCAGTTCTTAACAACACTAACAGCACCCAGCCTGTGGGCTCAAAGGTGAATTCCTCAAATTCAACCAGAACCTGCCACTCAGTAGACTCTTACCCAGCCAACTTGGTCCAATACACAAACAGCAGGTGTACTGCACGGTCCGCACACCGAGACCCTGGAGAATTTAGGACCACTAAAGTGCTCTTCCACACCCACCCAGCCAGTCTCTCTTTCTAGTCAAAACAGCTCTAATCCCTTGACCATATTCCACATGTCAGCTGGTCAAAAGGAAATTTAAGGAGGGCTAAGGAAACATCTGATGATGTAGTTAACAGGCCAGGGGCAGGCGGTGGACCCAGCAGTGGAAATGCTGGCTAAGTTGCCTACATCCCCCTGATATTCACCTCCAGCACCCAGCCCCAGGTTCCTGCTGGAGAGACCTGGAAGGCAGCAGCTATGGCTTAACCGAGTTCCTGCTACCTATGTGGAAGACCTGCACAGGGTTGCAGCCTCTCAGGTTTGGCGCTAGCCTAACCCCAGCCATAAGAGGCATTTAGGAGTAAAGTCGGGGATAGGAGATCTCTCTGCCTCCCCCCTCCACCATCACCAAAGAATTTTAAACAAGGAAGTCAACCAGAAAGCCACAAACCCTGAATCACAATGGACTAGGCACTGATGGAGTCCACAGTAAGACAGGGAAGAGAGTAGGGCATGCTGTCCAGCAGATGGAGTTAGCCTCAGCTCACCAGCAGTCCAGCCTTGACCAAGGATCATGACTCTGCCTCAGCTCCCTCAAAGGTAAAGCAAGGTTAGCAAGGCTATCTCAATGGGAGCCCAGCAAGGCAGTTATTCCAAGACACTCAGACACTAGCCCTGCTTATCAAATTGCCTGCATTGTAGCTCTAATTGCAATGAAAACAAACCCTCAAGGGCTGGGTCTAGCCCAAAGGGCAACCCAAAGCCCAGCAAAACGCTCTGAAGTCTCTCCTTGGAGATTTGAAAATTCTATAATGTTTGGTTTCTATCCCATGACGTATCTCTGGTTGTGTTAATATACAAGCAGTTTTATCCTCAAATAGTTGGGTTACAGGTATACTCTAGGACAAAGCCCTCACTCATTTATTCTGCAGCCTCAGGCACCTCCTAGCACAGTTTCACTTTCCCCAGGGCTGGCCATTCACTCTGACCTTCCTTGGAGAACAGTGGTCTGAATCTGCAAGGTAAGTGAGATTGGGAAAAGTGTGTATGTTTGTGTATGTGTGTGAGGCTCTGCCTTTCAAATCAACCAAACTCACCAAAAAGGGGGGTAGAAGGGGAGAATAAAAGAGTGGCTGGACATAAAGAGACAGGCCACAAGATCCGAACCTGGGGACGCGTGGGAGGCGGACTGGTGTGGTCTGGCCTAACTACTGCCTGCTTTCAGACAAGAAGGTCCCTTTCAGACAAGAAGGTCTGCTCGTGGAATATAAGGAGGCCTTGAAGGAACATCCACAGACGGCCTTGACACATAACAAGCCTGTGGGTATTTCTACTTGGCCATCTGTCTTCTGAGACTTCCCCGCCAACTACAGAGCCAGGGCTGGGCTAACCGCAGAGATTCTTGCCACTGGCGAGTGGGTATGTGGGAATGCAGGCGTGGTGGGACGGATGATTCGGAAGAGGACACCTTTCCACCACCTGCAGGGGGAGAGCAAACGGCCAGTTCTGAGGAACCGTGCAAGTTCCTAGAGGCCTACAATGCTCCAAGCAGTTTGTAACAACCAGGGAAGCACTTGACAGAGGGTTGAAAAATAACCTTCTCCTTGGGCCCCCAAGCCCCCAGTCGGGACCGAAGGGTGAGGCGGTACCGCTGGCAGGCACAAAACCTTCCAACAGTGAGATTCCTTTGTGCCAGCCTCTGGGCCGGGGGCGTTCAAGAAAAGGGCAGAAGGGAACGCAGCGGCAATCTAGGAGCCGGGAGCGCGCTTCCTAACAAGAGGAATGAAAAGATTTCAAAACCAAACCTTCAGCCTTTTCTTTCCGGAAAGCCCAAGCCCAGCACGCGGATTCCAGACCAAAGCGCCGGGTTCTCCGACCGGCTTTGCGAGCGCAGGCTCTGGGGGTCCCTGCCCGGTGCTGGCGGGGAAGAGCGGAGCTGGCCACCCTCCTGTCCACGAGGGCGAGCCCCGGGCCCGGCGGCTCCCGCATCCCGTGGCCTGCTGCCGGGCCCATGTCCTGGGCGCGGTGCGGGCCGGGCTCCACCGCCAGTCGCTGCCGGGCGCGGCTACCCGACCCCGGCCTCGCAAGTCCCCTTACCTCCGCTGCCAAGACGGGGCTGCGCTTGTCTTCCGTGGCCGCGCGGGTCACACCCTCGTCGGGGCAGGGCGGCGGGTCTTATGCCGGACGGACCCGCCCCGCCGCGGGGTGGAGACTGCGCCGGAGTTCCTGATTTTCACTCTTCTCACGGGACCGGAAAGCCCCTCCCAGGAGCCGCGCACCTGCCGGGCCTCCTGGGAGGGGCCGACTTTGCCCCTTCGGGGGTGGCTCGGCTGTGCCTGGCACAGCGCAGAGCCCGGGAGGCCTCGTCCTGCTCTGCCCGCGGTGCCCGCTCAGGCTGCAAGCACGTGGCCCCTCGGGGGCCCCGGGCGCCCCACACGCTCCAGAGCCCGCGTCTCAAATCAAAGCTAACTTTTGTGAAACCTCCCTGCCTGACCTCCTCAGGCCCACGCTGGGCCCGGGGTCTTGGCGTTGGAACACACATTCCACCAAGTTTCCAGCACTTTCGTACCTCCTTGGAGGAGGACAGTTCGCCTTCCCAGTGCTCCCAGCTGGCCCTGGGGAATCCGCTAGCAATAGGAAGGAATTCACCTGCGACCCGCTTAGCTGAGAACCAGTCCCCAGGACAGCCTTGGCCTCCCTAGGACAACCCGACTGGATGTGTTCCTCTCGCTCGCGTGGCTGGACATCAGTCACCTACCAGGTATGGTGGGTCTTTGCTCCCGCGTCCAGTGCTGTGTGCACCTCATAGGGAATGTAAGTGGAATCTATTGAGTGTGCAAGCACACTTCGGTTTTTCGAATTAGAGGACAGGTAACTTGTGAGAGTATGTGTGCATCCACAGCTGGAGGGTAAGTGAAGAAATCACTTCATGCTGACCTGGCAGAAGGAGGTACCTTCGTTTTCCAAAAAAAAAAAAAATTACATAAAAAATAAGTCTTTTAAAAAAATGACAATTATGTGGCTCAAAAGCATGAAACATACAGGTGCTGTTAGTTGGTGATAACTTTTACTGCTGGGTACACGGAGCTCTCAGCTGCCAGCTTCTCCCTTATGTATTTTTTTTAATAATTTGTTGGGTATTTATTTTTAAATATTTATTTATTTTTATTGTAAAGTCAGATAAACAGAGAGGAAGATCTTCCGTCTGATGATTCACTCCCCAAGTGGTCACAATGGCCAGAGCTGTACCGATCCAAAGCCAGGAGCCAGGAACCTCTTCTAGGTCTCCCATGCCAGTGCAGGGTCCCAAGGCTTTGGGCCGTCTTCAACTACTTTTTCCGGCCACAAGCAGAAAGCTGGATGGGAAGCAGGGCCTCCGGGACTAGAACAGCATCCATATGGTATCCTGGCACATTCAAGGCGAGGACTTTGGCTGCTAGGCCACCGCACTGAGCCCCAGCTTCTCCCTTAATGGCCCTCAGACCAGGCTGGGGAAGCCAAGGTCAGAGGCTACCTCTTGTGAGATAGGAAACACCAGGAACAAATCAGTGACACCCTTCATATCCTATAGCTCCCATGGGATCAAACTGAGGTTAAACCTCCATGGTGGCACTGCGTGGGACATCCGCATCCCATAAGGACACTAGTTGGTATCCCGACTGCTCCACTTCAGCTTCAGATCTTTGTTAATGCACCTGGGAAAGGAATGCAAGCAATCCTAGACCCTTTGGCCCCTGTTAACCCACCAGGGAGACCCGGGTGGAACTCCAGGCTGCTGTCATTTAGGGAGTTGAACCAACAGATAAAAATCTCTCCTCTATTTCTCCCTCTCTTTGGCTCCACATTTCAAACTTAAAATAAAAAAGTCTTCAAAACCTTCCCAGAAACCAAGAAGTGGGTGTTTGGCTTATTCGTGAAGACCCCTATATTGTATATCAGAATGCCTGGGTTCAAGCCACACATCTGCTCCAGGTTCCAGTTTGTTGCTCCCGTGGACCCAGGAGGCAGCAGGTGATGGCCCAAGCAATGGGGCTTCTGCCATCCACCAGGGGACCTGGACTGAGTTCCCAACTCCTACCACTGGGCATTCTGGGTGGGGCAGTGGATGGGAGCTAGCTTACTCTGTGTGTGTGTCTGTGTGTGTGTGTGTGTGTGTGTGTTTCAAATAAACACTATCTGAAACACTTCAGCAGAAGCAAAGTCTTTGCTCAGCCTCTTCCTCAGCTCTGCCCAACCCATGTCTCTCTCTCATTCACCAAAGATTTCTTCCTCCAAAGATTTCCCTCACTAGAGCTTGTACACCAGAATCCCTCTGTTGGGCACCTGATCCAAGACAGAGTATTTTACAAAGTGGTACAATGGCTGCAATGAAAGACCAACAGAAACCTAAATTAAAGATGCCAGAAAGAAAGCATGCATTCATCTCTACTCTTCCTTGAAATCCAATTAAAGCAAGAGTCGATTAAAAAATTTTACAAAGACAAGGGAATAAGAGAAGAAAAAATTGTAAAACTCTGGAGCCTGGGAAGCAGATCGACAGGTGGCAACCGGCTTAGCACACCTGAGGAAGCTGACTCCCTCACCAGGGGTGAAACAAATAGGAAGCAATGTGATAGGGTAGGATTTCCCAGGAGAGGGAGGACTCCACAGCACCTGGCAGACAGACCCAGATCTGGGCGTTTGCTGTAAGTCTGTACCAGGAGTGGGTGGTGCCCTCCAGCAGCCCCGTGGCGCAGCATGGCTATCATTGCTGCTCCTGCAAAGGGGCAGAGGGTTGGAGGGCGCATTCTAAGGAGCGCACGGAGCAGGGGGATCTCAGGGACGGGACATCAAGTAGTTAACGGGTTGTGCTTCTCCACATCGTCTCTAAGTTGTTGGCTTCAGATGCTGGTCATCTGATTATATCTCATGGTTGTGTGGCTCTGTCCTGAACATGGCTTGCTTGGCAGAGGAATTCTGCTCTCTGTGGCATCCACAGAGACCACAGGGTAGCATTCAGCTGGCAGAGGGGCACCAGGGCAAGAGGGAAGGGTGCCCTCAGCCAGCACTGTCAAGCACAGCACCTGTGTGTGCCCTCTCCACAGGCAGGACTGAGGATGGCTCAGAGTTTTCAGCAAAGATGCACCAAAAGAACCAGGCACAGGTTTCTAGGCATTTTGTATCTAGGCTTAGCAAGCTATTGAACATAATTTCTGCTGGTCTCAGTAGGTCGTGCGAATCCTTAAGACCAGCTCAGGATCAAGGGAATAGGGGTCCCTGAGCAGGGGGCAAGAGGAGTGCAAGAAGTTACAGCTCTTTCCCACCAGGCCTATGGACTGACGTAAGAGCAGGGCCACTGTGCTGAGATGGGACGAGCCGTGTGTCCCTTACCTTGGAACAGACTTGGCTGCTCCGGATTCCTCCTCACCTGCCTCCTAGAACACTGACAGCCAGGGTTGGAGTCCCTAGGATGGGGAGCTGGGAACACTCTTCTCAAGGAGCTCCAAGAAGGTAGATGGGGCCTGCCATCTATGACTCCATGAAACCAGAGCAACGTGCCCATGAACTCCCCCGGGAAGCCCCACCCATTCGCAGGCGCTCAGCACTTCCTGGCAGCCTGGCAGCTATCACTCTCCCTGAGTTACCAAGTAAAGGACACTTCATTAGGTTCAAATTTCAGATAGACAGCACATGCTTTACTAACCAACTGAATACATAAACAAGTAGATCTTAAATATTGTTTACATTTAAAAATGTGCGTTGTTTGTCTAAAGTTCAAATTCAGGCATGGTGCTTGATCTAGAAGTTAAGATCCCAGTAAAGAATCTCACATCTTATAAAAAGAATTTTTTTATTCTTACCTGAAAGGCAGATTTACAGAGAAACAGAGAGAAAGATCTTCTGTCTACTGCCTTACTCCCCAAATGGCAGCCATGGCCAGAGCTGAGCCGATTTGAAGTCAGGAGCCAGGAACTTCTTCCAGGTCTCCCGCACAGGTTCAGGGTCCCAAGGCTTTGGGGTATCTTTTGCTGAATCCCAGGCTGTAAGCAGGGAGCTGGATGGGAAGCGGAGCAGCCAGGACATGAACTAGTTCCCATACGGGATGCTGTGCTTACAGGTATACGACTAACCAGTTGAACCAATGTGCAGACCCCAGGTTCCACATCTTGGGTCAGGTGTTGTGGTATAAATGTTAAGCTGTCACTTGGGATACTTTTACCTCATATTGGATGCCTGGCTTCGAGTTCTGCCTCTGCTTTCCATCCAGCTTCTAGCAGGTAACAGCTGAACTTTTTGGGTCTGTACTGTCAGTGTGGGAGACCCAGACTGTGCTCCAGGCTCCTGGCTTTGGCCAGGCCCAGTCCTAGCTATTGCAGGCTTTTATGGGAGTGAATTGGTGGATAGGAGCACTCTTTGTGTGTGTGTGTGTGTGTGTGTGTGTGTGTGTGTGTGTGTACCTCTAAAATACATAAATAAAACTTTCATTTAAAAAAATTCAATTTAGGAGTTTGATCTTGTGGGTTGGGTGGAGGGAGCTGCCAGCAGCATGAGGGCTGCTGGGAGTACTTAAGCCAGATCAGACTCAATGCTTGGGGCCTTAGCCCCAGCCACTGCTACCAAGTAGTGAGTGAGTCCAGGGCTTGGCTAGGCCCAAGATTTTTCTCCCTTCATGGTAAGTATGCTATGAAGGGATCTCTCAGAAGCTTAGGTCGATCCCTGGCTCTGCCTGCAGCCACCACCTTGGGTTTGCGGGTGGCCAGAGTGCCAACCAGCCCCTGGCTCTGCCCGCTGACTGCCCAGCAGCAAACTCTGGGATCTTGGGGATATGAGTTACTGCCCAGGGACATCCATGAATAAGGCTACTGTGCATGTAGGTGAGGAATGAATCTTGAGGGACTCCAACTACAGGACCACTGTACTTGCACATAAGTGAGGGACTGAGACCTGGTGGTTTGGAAGGGAGAGACTGGAAGATCTGTAGGGATCAACTTGATACACCAGCCCACATTGGAGTTCTGAGTAAGGCTTGTTAGCATGGAACATTGCTTACCACCACATGCCAGTCCATGTCAAAGTTAGGTCTGGGACCTGTCTAGCAGAGCTAGATCTCAGTACCCGATTGAATGTCAGAACAGGAGACAGGTCACATTAGGCAGTGTCCATGCTGGACACTAACCAGCACACAAGAGAACCAGGTGCTCATTCAA